TCCTTTTCAAGATCTAATGTTTTGTTTGTGAAAAAAACTACCTTGATCCTTTACGCTAAATGATTTTTAGATTGCAATTTTTTTCTCATCCTCCAATCTTAAAATTCCTGTTGTTCTGTGTGCACAATAGACAATTATGAATAAATATGGATTGTGTTAATGTGCTATACATAAATGCTACACATTTCTCATTTTTAGTAACCATGCTCATCAAACCCGATTTTTAGAAATGAATTATTTGTTTACTAAATTTTGTACATCACCCATCTCAGCTAAGTGACTTTCCTAGAGTGCTTTGGCACTAGAAATACAAATTGTTAACATGGCTACTTTTTCAGAATTCCCCTTTAACAAATATTTTTAAGGCATGTTTATCATATAACAACACCCTTCAGATGGCCTTGGCATTTCTCTGACGCTGATAAAACACCTGCTCTAGATACCAGATCAGATTAACTGCAATAAATTCGATAAGGAATGCAGATTAACAGTTCTTCCTTCTTCTTCCACATTTCTGGTGTCATTGGACTTGAAGGTTGTATGTTTCATTCCTGACTCAAGGGACAGAGATGAGTAAATCAGGGTAGAACTTCAGTGAAGTTTTGACGTATTTGTATCATCAGCTTCACTTCATTTCCCTTTTAAAAAGGGTGCAAACAGTTCCTGAAATTTTGACTGCGAAATTCTTGGCTGCATTGAAAGCCTTCTTAATTGGGTCTAGGACAACTCACCGCAGCCAACTGGCCACGGGAAACCTGCCATGGGACAAGAGTTACACTAATATCAAGAAATGGTGGAATAGAATCATTTAATAAAGGGTGCCAGAAGAACAAAATGAAACGTGAATGAAAGTGTAAAAAAATTTTTTTTAATTATTTTAAATACTTAAATGGAATTGTTGAACTGTCCCGTGGCAAGTTGGCTGTGGCAAGTTGTCCCATTTTGTTCTTAATCTTCCTTATATTTGTGTGCACACAGCTGCTTTTCTGTGCTTGGCTGGCATTCCCGGCATGTGTACTGGTATTGTCTGTGTGTGTGTACACACTCACCCAACAGCAAGCAAGACATGGCTTGGAAGCAGTTGGGCCAAGACTTCCACATCTACTTTCCTGCTTCAAGAAGTATTTTACTCCACTCAAGGCGTTTTGTAAAGCACCCCTTTCAAATACTTTGCCTAGCATTGCTCGCGATAATCATCCGATCCTCATTCCCAAACCACAGCCAAGGCAGGACCAGAATGCTAGCAAAACCCACAAAATATCGCATCAGGAGGTTGCACACTGAAGCCATTTGCTGCCTTGTGCTTCTATTTGAGCTTGCAACGTTAGCTGAAGAACAAGATGTAAATGCAAGGAATTACTGTTAGCCCACCATGTATCAAACCCATCTGGGGAAAACGAATCAATGGGTGCTTCGTGATTGCTCCAAAGCAACTTTCCCTTGAAGGTCTAAACTACATTTAGATTGGACATTCTCCAAAGGGTCTTAAAGGCCATCCTGTTGGTGCTTGTTTGAAGTGACTAGACAAGAACATACATGGATTTCATTTCTATTTAGAGAGGAATAATACTTCTTGCAAGGAAAACAAAGGCATCATTGCCCTCTCCAACAAATTCACACGCAAAACATGGCCAAAGTACAGTAAATCAGAAGTAGTCTTATGATTTTAGCTTCCTGTGATGTGCCTGGTTTGATACCTATTTCCAATAGTAACTAGTGATTCAGCTAACAGCTCATTAGCAGGCCAAGCAAAATAGAAAAGAAGTATGAAAAGGAACTAATATTTGATGTTGTTAATGGTGTGAATGCTAAGCATAATTTTAGTTTAAATTTAGTCATTTTGTTTTACTGCTATTGTTCCGAAGTCAGTGGTTCTTTACGTTCTCTTTTAACGTCTTTCCGAAATGATCCTTCTAAACCAGGGGTCCCCAATCTTTGGGACCTCAGGGACTACCAAACTAATATGAATTTTAACTGATGGTGGCTTACTTAAAAGCACAGCCGAAGATCTAAAGATTAGCTAGAAAGCAAGCAATCCAATGGTTTTCTGCTTTCTAGCTAATCTAAATCTCCCAGCACGGCAGAACAGCTGATGGTTGCGGTGGGGGGGGAAGCAACTTCGCGGGCAAGTTTGCCAGGTAAGGAGTGAGTGAGCGGGGAGGGTTCCTACGGGCCGTGTGGGCAGCGCAGCCTGGATTTATTGCTTTGGGGGGTGCTCTGGGGATGACATTTCTCTGCGGACCACCAAAATTTTCTTGTAGACCATCAGTGGGCCGTAGCCCACCAGTTGGCAACCACTGTTCTAAACTACATTTCAACACAGATCTTGTAGAATGAGGATCAAATTCCCCATCAGATTGGGTAGATGAATTCTCTACATTTCTCACTGGAAAGCAGATGTTCTCTATCAGTTTCTCCCTTTCTTTTCTCTTAGTAGTGAAAGAGTCAGCTCTCCTAAACATGCCCTTGTGAATGTTTCTGTTCGAGTATTTCTTTGGGGTGGAACGAAGTGTGGGAAGCCAGAGAGATTGACAACTGTGGGGTCCTTGGTGTTCTCTGAGCTTGGGTGTTTTTTTACATGCAGGCAGCACGCAAAACCACGCCTTCTCTGGTCCATGGAAAAACCTCTCTCCACAGAACCGTTCTCTGGTGCCCGAAAGATTGCGGGGGGCTGCTCTAGACTAGGACTAAAATTCCCAGGATGCTCTTTGGCAGTGCTGGCTGCAGGTAGGAAATTCAGGAAGCAGGCAGTTAAAAGCACCTGGAAGGTGTTTCTTTGGGAAAATCCAGAATAGGTCCCATCTTCTTAAAAATATCCTGTTCTTTCTTGGGCCTACAGCAAACCCACCTTGCCATTTGTCCATTGGTTTTTTAAAAATGCCAGTTTTAATAATCTGCATTGCAGCTGCTTCCCAAGTGTAGGAAAAGTGTGTTAATTCTTAAAAGTCCACCTAAAGGAGCTGAAATCCATAACCACTTGAGCATCTTTGCAAACCCAAAAGGCCATAACATTCCAATGGCACATCTTGGCCCAGGGGCAGCAGTTTAAGCAAATCTGGACTACAGGTTGTCCTCGACATATGACCACAATTGAGCCCAACATTCCTGTTGCTAAGTGAAACATTTGTTAAAGTGAGTTTTGCTCACTCATCTTTCTCACCACGGTTAAGTGAATCATTGCAATTGTTAAGTTAGGAGCACTGTTAAATGAATCTGGCTTCCCCATTGACTTTACCTGTCGGGAGGTTGCAAAAGGCGATCACATGACCCCAGGACATTGCAACCGTCATAAATATGAGTCAGTTGCCAAGCACCTGGATTTTGATCACATGATCATGGGGATACTATGATGCAGGGGTCCCCAAACTTGGCAACTTTAAGACTTGTGGACTTCAACTCCCAGAATTCGGCATAGCTGGCTGGAGCATTCAAATCCACAAATCTTAAAGTTGCCAAGTTTGGAGTCTTCTGCTATAATGGTTGTAAGTGTGAAAAAATATACTCATAAGTCACTTTTTTCAGTGACGTAACTCTGAACAGTCACGGTGAACTATTGTAAGTGGAGAACTAGCTGTATTTTCCCTAATTTTGCCTGTTGACAGCTGACAGGAGAATGAGGGAGAGTGGGGCTACTTAAAATTACCCGTCCAGCTTTCACAGACATATTCTAGACCTGTTGGGATTACAACTTCCTGAATTCCTAGCCGCATCCAAAATTCGAGAAGGTCGAATGTAAAGCCGCAATCCAGGCAGTGGCGGATAAAGGCTGCCTGGTGCCCTAAGCCCTGAAAAATCTTGGTGTCCCCCTCCTTTATACATACAAGATTTTTTACAAATCTTCATTGGTTTTTTTTCTTTTCTTTCCAAACTTTGTGTTGCCCCCTTTGGACCTGGTGGCCTACACACGTGCTTAGTCTGCTTAATGGTTCATACACCACTGAATCCAGGCAAGCTCCTGTGTTTCCTCTCTCTGGATCTTTCTATGTGATCTCAGCCTCACCAGGCTGTCTGAAGACACCGGCCTACCTTACAGGGCCGTTGTATCCAACGGCACGATCGTTTGAACGGTGGGCATGGAAAACCAGAACGAAAAACAAAACAAAACAGCGAGCAAGCAGCGCCGCCTTCCGTTCCCTCGCTGCGCCAAGACCTTCGGCTGGAGCAGCTCACTCGAGGGTCCCCCCCCCCCCCGCCGACCCCAACTCTCCCTTTCTAAAATCCGGATGGACAGATGTTTCCCCTTCCCCGGTGCGATTGCACCGGTCGGGCCGCCCAGCAGCGAGCAGCCCTCCCCCCCGCAGCCCCTCCCGTTTTTAGCAGGACCTTGTCCCGGGGTGGCGGGGTCGCCTCGCCTGCCAAAGCTCGTCCGGTTCTTCTCCCAAATCTTCTCCGCCCGCCTCCGCGACCGATCCAGCAATCCGGGGCAGCGGGTTCGCCTTGGCATCGCGGGCGGGCTGGGTTTGAGGGTGGCGCAACCCCCCCCCCCGCCCCTCCCCTCCCTTTTCGCTGCGAGACTTTCCCTTTCGCAGCCGGCTCGGCTCCGAAAGGAGGAGGAGGAAGAAGAGGAGGAGGAGGAGGAGGCGATTGGCTGCCGCTTCGCGGGCGCTGCGAGTCCCGCACACACGCGCACACACACACGCCCGCCGTACAAAACTCAGCCCAGGACTGAGCCTGCCCCACTCGAGAGACAGGGGCGAAGGAACCTGCCGGAGCTGCTGCTGCTGCTGTTGCGCGCGCGCCCGCGTGCGTCTCCCCGCTGTGGCGCTCGCGCCGGCTTCTCCCTTCGCCCCGCCGGCAGGTTGAGAGCCGCCCTTCCACTCACACACGCCCGCCAGAAGAGCTCCCTCCCTCCTTCCTTCCCTGGTTTCTCGCAAAACCCACCCCGCCCCACCCGCGGCCGTGGCAGCGGCGAGGCTGGGTTGTGCGCTCGGCTCCCGCGCGCTCCGGACTCGAACGGGCGGCTTGAGGGAGCGAGTCCTCTTCCACCTCCACCTCCGGCACCCCCCAAGGCAGCGGTGGGAGACATGGCGGGCTCTCCGCGCGCGCTGCTCTGGTGGGGGTGCCTGTGGTTTAGCTGCTGCAGCCTGCTGGCCGAAGGGTCCGGAGAGCGCCCGGGCGGCTTCGCTAAAGGGAGCGTAAGGCGAGGGGTCGGCGGGCGCAGGAGCCGGGCGGCAGAAGCTGAGGCGGCCGAGCAGCAGCAGCAACAGCAGCAGCCTTTGCCGCCGCCGGTGGTCTCCGCCGGGGACAAAGTATCGGAACACATGCTGCGCCTTTACGTCCGCTACAGCGGTCGGAGTCGGGATTCCGAGGCGCCCGGAACGTCCCGGCTGCTTCATCTCCGTGAAGGCAACACGGTGCGGAGCTTCCGAGCGCTGCCGGCAGGTGAGTTTCCGAGGAGGGCTCGCGCGGAAAGTGGGGAGCGCGGGGGACGGGCAGGCGGACGTTTCCCTCAGCGCGAGGGTCCCGTTTGGCGTCCAGGTGAGGGGTGTGTGTGTGGGGGAGGGTTGGGAGAGCGAGGCGCGCGCGGCTGCTGACAGGTGCGGCTCTCGCGGGGCTTCTCGCTCCCCTCAGGGCGAAGGCGCGCGCGCGCCCAGACGGGACTTTTGGGGGGGGGGGGGGGGGGGGGGGCCGCGTGAGCTGCGGACCGGCTGGCGGTCGCAGGTGCGCAATTAAATAGAGGGAGGGGGAGGAGAGAAAACCTCTCGCTCGCGCCGGCTGCACGCGCCGTGGGTCGCGCGGTTTTAAAAGCGGCGCGGCTGCTGCGAGGAAGAGTCGTGGTTGCCAACCGCCTGAGGGCGAAGCACACAGACACAAGCGCACAGACACACACACACGCACACACACACAGCCCTGGACCCCCTCCTCGTCTGTGGGTCGCTGGGAACCGCTTGAACAAGCGCCCCGTGGCTCTTGCCTGCCTAAACCAAACCTAAGGCGTTGAGGGAGTTTTATTCCGCTAGTATAAAGTTGTACCAGAACTTACCAAAGTTCGTTTAGTGACAGTTCAAGATAATACAAGGGCACTGAAACAGGTGACTTAATCACCTGTTTTTTTTTTCACAGCTATGACCCTCCCGTGCTCATGGGGTCAAAATTCAGGTGCTTGACAACTGATTCCTATGTATGATGGTTGCACTGTCCTGGGGTCATGGGATCCCCTTTTGCGACCTTCTGACAAACCAAATCAATGAGGAAGCCAGATTCGCTTAACAACCAGGCTACTTAGCTTATTGACTGTTAGTGATTCACTTAGCAGCCGTGGCGAGAAAGTTTGTAAAATGGGGCAAAAGGTGCTTAACAAATGTCTCGGTTAACAACAGGAATGTTGGGCTCAGTTGTCGTAAGGGTGAGGACTATCTGTATCAGTATCCGTGAGGCATCTTTGGAGTGAACTGTGGACGCATTTCTAAGTCAAAGAAGGAAACTGGGGCTGCCTTCTCCTGGAGGGATTTTCCCTATAAGAAGGGTGGGACACTGGTTTATATAGTCCATGTTAAAATAGAAGCTGAAGTGAACTTGTCCTGGACCAGCTATAGGGATTAAAAGTGTTCTGGCAGGAAAGGTGACCGGGAGCAAATGATAGAGAAGTTTCTTGCATAAACAGGGTTTGTTTGCAGAAATACTCGGAGTTTCCATATCTTTAAAAAAAATGACTTCCCAGAGCTGTCAGTCTTAGAACCTACGGAAGACCTGCTATAAGTGATTAAAAATAACAAGGGGAGGTAGGAAAGACAGTTCACATCCAACTGAGTAAATCCTCTTTTTCTTTTCTTTTTTAATTAAAAGCAGAGTATAGCCATGGACTTTAATTTAACTTCACCAATTATTAAGGGCTGCTTCTAAGGCATTTGATCTATTTTTTTTCTCAGGTATAAATTAGATCCTGAGAAATTATTACATGCTGGAAAGTTTGCGGCTGCTAATAAAAGTTGCCCTGCCGAAGACTCTTAACAGGCAGCGAACGAAAGTTCATTGAGACGTCAGGATCTGCGGATCTCTTTTGCGTCTTGCTCCAGTGAATTCTCTCGAGGGATTTGGTGAATGATTTGGCAGCTGGACCACGTCCAGAGTCTCGTCTCAAAATCGCTGTACATAGATTTATCCCTTATGATACCTCCCCCCACCCAAAAAATAATTCCTACCTGCTCAAATTGAGAAAGATATTGTTTTTGAAACCTACAAGAGAGTAGCCACGTCTCAATCAATCAATCGAAACAGAATTGGAAGGGACCTTGGAGGTCTTCTAGTCCAACCCCCCTATACCATTTTAGACAAATGGTTATCCAATCTCTTCTTTAAAACCTCCAGTGTTGGACCAGCCATAACTTCTGAAGGCAAGCTGTTCTACTGGTCAATTCTCCTTAATTCTTCTCTTATGTCTTCGTTAATTCTTCTCTAAAACTATCTCTTAACAGCATGACTTAATGTTTTAACTGATTTTTATATATTAGGTGCCTTATAATTAGAAGCTGTTGGAGTAGTATAAAAATGTAAAGCAGGGGTTGAAACTCTAATCCAATAGTATAAATAAGAAAGGGAAAAAAATCAATAGAAGTTCCACTTTGTACCTATTAAGCCTTCTGGATATAAGGGTTCAGCTTTCTCATCCAATCCTGCATTTGCTTACTTGGAAGTAAAATCTGCCTAGCTCAGCATTTTAGTTAGAAGTAATCAGTTGGCGTATTAATATGATTAAGCACACAATAATATAACACAGGAAATTATATTGCTTCTGAGCAGGATAATCAGTCTGATAATTTATGTTCCTTCTGAACAATTCTTTGTCCATTTCATTAAACAGCCCATTGCGCAGAGGGTAATTTGTTCGTTGTTATACTGTCTTTGCATAAATTCTATGCAGCTCAGAATTGTATAGGCCTGAATCAATTCCACAAATCAAATTTAGTATAGTGGTTATGATGCTGGCCTGGAACCCAGGAGACTGTGAGTTCTAGTCCTACCTTATGCATGAAAGCCAGCTGGGTGTCTTTGAACTACCAGTTACTTTCTCTCAACTCACATCTCCTCAAAGGATTGTTGTCGTAGGGAAAACAAAGAGGAAGAATGAATGTGGGTGCATGTGTCTGTGTGTGTGTATGTCAAGGTGATGGATATATATATCCATCACCTTGACTTCTTTATAAAAAAACAATAAAGGCAGAATACAAATCTTTAAAACTCAAGTCTTTTTTATCCTATACATTTGGAACTCAAAATCTTGCTTACATGAAAATCAGTGTCATTAGGTATTCGATCTCTGATGAATATTCAGTAAGTTTTTTCTGCAATCTGAAATCTAATTACAGAATTGCAATGAGGCTCAGTAATATTTCATACTCTTATATTAGCATATTTACTGGGCCTACAAGTCAGTTTTATGTGCATCTGTTGCTTACGTAAAGAAAGAAATGCACTAGGCTACTGAATATGCAGTTAACCATAAGTTATTTTCAGCATGCCTCTAAAAACATATAGCGCTGTTTGGAATAATTGTAAGTTTGATGTGGTCTGGAAAAATTCTCCTGCAATTCTACAGCGGATTCAGCTATTCCCTAGATAAACTACTGAAAATATTAACCTTTTTTTGCACAATATATTTCGGGACCAAGGTATTCTTATAGAGATAGAAGTTATTTCTTAGCAAAAGAATCTAGGCATGAATCCACATGGAATACTGAAAACAATTGACATCTCAGAATTATTGGATCTCCAAGTTACACTCAAGTTTTACTCTGCTGCTCTTTGTTAACTATCCATCTCCTAGCGTTGACCCGTAAACAAAGGAATTCCGCTGTCTTTTAGACCATTTTTTTAAAAAAATCAATTCTGTATGTTTCAGCAGGTCGAAATGAATCCCCATAGATTCTAGATCTGATCTGAGGAGAGAGAGAAACTCTTTGGAGAACTAGAGTGTTTTCTTTCTCCAACAGGGCAGGGCAATTAATTTTCCCACACAACAAACTGGAACCGGAGGGCTGAACCAATAGGGCTGTGAAGCTGCAGAGGTATGAATGCATGCACGTATGTAAATTGGGAAAAAAAAAATATGGTTGGCTTCAAAATAAAAGCAATGCAGTTGTATGGCATGCATTTCATTTCTAATTTCCAATTGACCTCACATAAAATGCCCAGGTCTTTCCTAGGTATATTTCTAACACATCTCCGGGACATTGAATTCTCTCACCACCAAAACTGAATTTGGCACGCTGGTTTTGCCGGCAGTTAAATAGCTAATCATGCACATGTTGTATCTGCCCTATGCGGAACTCCGAAATAGCCTATAATTCCTGAAAACTTACAATATTCATAATTATTGGGTTCAGTGGAATGGTCAAAATAAATATCTTTCCCGAGAATGATCCATGGCTGCTTCTTTCCCTCTTTCAGTGTCTTTCTAATTTTTAACTTAAAGTGTTGTTGTTTTTCCTGCTGATATTTTCTACTGAAATATGAGGCTTGCTTGCTGACTATGTAGGTTCATTTAGCAAGAATTCCCGCTGGGTTCAGTTATGCTTATCCGCAATAAGTGCGTACAACGGCAGACTTAGAGTTATTTTCTTAGCCATCAAAATCAAAAGGAGGGAGGGTGTTTTGTCAAATTGGGTTGTTGACCACTTGTGGCTATTACCCAGTTGTGAGTAATCCGCTGATGCACCACGAAATGAATTACTGCATGCCTTTCTGACCTTAACGCTGTTGCAGTCAAAATCTATAGCTAAGTTATACCAACATTGCAGTTCCTGAAATAATTTGCTTCTATGCGCAACAATATGAAGTTGTTGGTTTGGATGTGTCAAAAGACAGTCTTCCATTTAGTCCTCCAAGAGCTGTAGTGGCTCAGTGGTTAGAGTGCGGTACTGCAGGCTACTTCTGCTGACTGCCGGCTGCCTGACATTTGGCAGTTCGAATCTCACCAGGCTCAAGGTTGATTCAGCCTTCCATCATTTCGAGGTGGGTAAAATGAGGACTGGATTGTTGGGGGGCAATAGGCTGACTCTGTAATCCGCTTAGAGAGGGCTGTAAAGCACTATAAAGCGGTATATAAGTCTAATTGCTAGTGCTATTTACAAACACAATTGGGACCAGAATTTCTATTGCTAAGCAAGGCCCGGTTTTACAACCATTTCTGCCATCGTTCTTAAGCGAATAACTCTCCTTGTTAAGTCACATGGTAGTTAAGGAAATCTGGCTTCCTCCTTCTGACTTCACTGGCTGGAAAAAAAATTACAGATGTCAATCAAATGGCCCTGGGACACTGCAACCTTTGCAAATACATGCCAGTTGCCAAGTGCCTAAATTTTGATCACGTGATCATGGGGACACTACAACAATCACAATATCAGGACTGATGGTAAGCCAGTTTTTTTCAGTCATTTTGAATG